TATTGTATATCAAAGCTAATCACATATGCTATCATTCATTATCAAAATATAAAGATAAAAATATAAATAATAAAATAAAAAATAAAATAATAAAATAAAAGTAAAATAAAATAAATGAAACATGTAAGAGTCGTTACTCGCCAACTACGTAAGTTATGATGTAATCAAAACTGTTACATATAGAGTATGTATCCTTGAGAATATTTCCACCACTCGAGCTATTATAGAGTATATATCTAGAATTTGACATGCCACCACAGGAATGAAAGATGTTGCTGCATCTTGATGGATGAATAAATTGACAGCTGAACCTTATATTAATAAATTTGAAATGATTGGGATGTATTTAAAACCAGTGTAAAAGATTTCTTCCAACCTCAAAAATTATCAAATATATCTAAGATATCAATTAAAGCAGCTTAGACAAAATAGTTCTGTATATGACTATGCAACACAATTTAGAAATTTAGTAGAACAAATAGGTGGAATGCATGATCTTGACCAAGCTAGTTATTTTATTGATAGACTAAAATCCAATATAAAGATAGAAATCAAGTATCGAAACTTTAATAGTTTAAATAATACAATCAATATTGCTACTTGGTATGACACAGCTTTATGGAGAATAAATAAAAGGAACAGTTTCAATTCATCTAGACATAATAAGAGATCTAGTAATTTTAACAATAATAATAATTATAATAATTCTGGTAGAAATCAATATAATAATAATAGTAGGCCGGAATTAATGAATTTAGATTCTATAAAAACATGTTATCAAAAGAATAAACATGACAATAACTATAACAAAAGTAATAGAAATAATAGTTATTATAATAATAATAATAGCAACAATAATGATAATAGGTTTAATAACAATAACAGTAATAACAATTAATGATCAAGGGTCCAATGTTATAATTGTAAAGAATATTGACATTACTCTAAGAATTGTTCTCAAAAAAAATCCAACAGAGAAATCTTGAAGAAGAAAATCCTGGTAACAATAGTTTGAAAATAAACTGAACTGAAGGAAATCAAGAATGATTACTTCGATTTAATGGAAATTTCAATAGTAAAAAGGTATATATTTTACTTGATAGTGGTGCTTTAAGAAATTTTGTTGATAAAGATTTTATACAAAGAAATCACTTTCCTACTAAAATGAATAAAACTCTAACCATCGAATTAGTTGATGGGAGAAAACAAGAAACCAACCAAGAAGCACTTCTTAATAATCCTGAGATTGGAGATTATAGAGCTAAATGTATTAAAGCTCAAGTGATTAATCTCAATCGTTATTATGTTATTTTGGAAAAACAATGACTTTTCAATGCTAACCCTGATATAGATTGGAGAAACAATATTTTAACTTTTTCTTTTGAAAGAAATCGGATAACTGTACAAGTCAATGAATGAAAAATGAAAGAACCTGAATGTAATTCTGTATTTATTACAAGGCAACAATTTATGAGAATACCTTCAAATGAAAAACTGTTTAGTTTATATCCAACTGAAGAAAAAACTTTTAATGGGAAATAATCACAATATCCTTCTGAAGTTAAGAAACTTTTGAAAGAATTTAATGATATTTTTCTACTACTTTACCCAATGGATTACCTCCAGAAAGAAGATTGGATCATGCAATTGATCTCATTCCTGGCATGGAACCTCCATTTCATCTTATCTATCAATTGTCTCATTATGAAATGAAGGAATCAAAAGTTCAACTTTCTGACCTTTTGGAAAAAGGATTTATTAAACCTTCTGTCCTTTTGGTGCCCCTGTCCTATTTGTTCATAAAAAGGAAGGAACTTGAGGCTTTGTGTTGACTATTGAGCTCTCAACAAGATAACCATTAAGAATCACTATCCACTATCTCAAATTGAAGATTTACTGAACTGACTTGTTGGTGTTAAATACTTTTTCAAATTGAATTTATACTTAGGATATTATCAAATTCAAATCAAAAAAGAAGATATTTATAAAACTGCTTTCCGAACTTGATATGGTCATTATGAATTTTTAGTCTTACCCTCTGGATTAACCAATGCTCCCACAACCTTCATGACTCTAATGAATAATATTTTTCATGAATATCTTGATGAATTTGTAGTTGTATATTTAGATGACATTCTAATATATAGCAAAACAAAAGAAGACCATCTGAAACATTTACGCAAAGTATTATTAAAACTTGGAGAACATAGATTATATATCAAATTAAAAAAGTGTGAACTATTCAAAAACAAAGTTAAATATCTTGAACATTTTATATCTGGTGAAGGAATAATTTAATTATAAACCACAAGCTTCACTAATAAATATTTGCTGATATTTATTTTCTATAACGAATTAATAGATTCGTTACATGCACTGTTAATCAGTATTCAAGCAAATATACAGCAATAAAATAATAATTATATATTTTAAATGTTATATCATAACTCCAATATAAATAAAATTGATAAAACAAATAGATAATGTTATGTGAATCTTAAATAGAAAAGGACAAGCATTTACTTAGAATCTAAAAATAAATTGAACTACTAGGTTCAGAAAAATACCATTGTTGATAATTCTTTTCTGTAGATAGGAAATTTTTAATTTAATTCACTCATACTCATAGTAAGAACCATTTATAAATACATGATATTATAATTATAAAATTGAAAATAAATATTATTATCTACCAATAGTTAAGATGAGATAATTGTCTTTAATTAAAAGGATTTTCTTTGGATGAAAGAAGTCAAATCAGTGGTTTCAAAAAATTATAACAAGAGTGTAATGAATTTAAAGTGATTTTGTGGCAGATTCAATTCCAATTTTGATTGAATTCATTGATACTTAGTTCATTAAAATTTACAAGTTAGTTTATACATCAGTTCTTTATTAAATTTGAATATAATAAGGACCATTATTGTTTATATTTAAACAAAATGCTTAATATTCATTATTAAATGAATGATAACTAGTCTGGCCGCATATTACAGGATATAAACAAAATGCAATTGAATAATTATAAAAGAAAAAAGGAATTATATTTTTTGAAATTTTTATATGATGCATTAAATTTATACATGTGGTCATTTATTGACAAAGCCTTTTAGACATAAATAGCATAAAAATCTTTAAATGGATTTTCTAGAAAAGCCTTTACTAAATTATAAATTATTATGAAAATAAATACATATAGTATAATTTTATATATTTACATGATTTTAGTTCTATGGAATAGAATAGTGCTCTTATAACAAAAAAGATATAGTCTTATTTTTATAGTTATTATATTAGCCCTTGTCAAGGTATGGTTTTAATTATCTTGGTAATATCATACAATAGTTCAAATAAAATAATCAATAATAAAACTATAGTTAGATGAATAATCAATGATAATATTAATTTTTTAAAAAACCAAAAAAAAAGCACATACTTTATATAGAACTCTCTTTTATGAAAATGGACAATGCAAAAATTATATTTAATTAACAAATCAGAAACTAAAGAATCAATTAATTATAATAATATAAGATAAATTCTTTGGCTTGATACTTTTAGTGGGTTAAAATTTAATGCATTTTCTGCTTCAGTTATGTCCATTTTAATTCTGAATTTATAAAAAATCAATTTATAAAAGTAAAATCAAAAGATCTTCATATAGAAGGAATCATTGACTTTTTTAGTCATGTCAAGTCTTCCATTAATATAAATTATTATGAAGGATCCAGAAAAATGCCAGGTTTAGTTGAGAATCTGTTGTGATCATGAAATTTTAATATATAGGTAACTCCTTGCTCCCAATGAAGTATACTAGAAATGTTACTATTGTTCCTCTTAAAAGTATTTAATGATATTTGTTTTTAATATTAAAATCATCTCAGTTTCAACATTATCATAATTACAAAACAATCTTTGAAAATTTTTTCATTGGCTTTTATTATTTGTCTAAATAATAAAATGCATATAGAAAAAATACTTTAGTAGCAAAGGAAAGGGAAAACTACTAGACAAACTATAAAGAATTTTCAATGTGCAACAGGAACTGATAACTACACCTATTCACATATTTAATTTAACTATTTAAAAAAAGAAAACTTTGCTAAAATTGACTGATCATATAATTATAGTGATTGAATTTGATAACTGCATAGCAATAATAAATTTATTTATAAAGTTTTTATAAAAGAAAATACAAAAAAGCTTGTTAATTATATGTGGATATAATAGGTAAATCTTTAGTAAAAAAAATCCAAACTTTTATATATATTATTTGTCATCAAATTGTCATTTGTATCATCTATTACTATAGATTTTTTAAATTTTTAAATTTGTCAAATTTTGGAAAAAAAACTTTTTAAGCATATAATCAATTCAACACCCTATCAACAATAGAAACTTAAAAAAAATCAATAAACTTATTTACTTTAATCAATATAAAATATAGACACATCACATCATTATAGAAGAATTGAAACTAAAGTGTATATATAGTGTATTTTAATTTCAGGTCCATAAAACAATCCAAATTAAAAATTTGAAGAAAATTTAAAAAAAATGATACCTACATAGTCATTTATTTAGCATTAAAGAATGTGTGGAATTCTGTAAAATAAAAATGGAAAATAAAGAAAAATCTCCATGTTTCTGAAAATTTGTGCAGTTAAAATCAAGTAAAAATAATATAAAATTTTGATAAAACATAAAACTGCATAATTGAAATTTATTCTGCTTGAATTGCTTAACTTTTTTCTATCATGAACCATTATACTGCTATTCAAATTTAATCCTACAGTTACTTAATTATTTTTATATTGAAATAAAATTATTTTAGAACCATTCAATTTAAAAATGATACATAACAGCATAAATATTTGAAGACAGGATGGAAGGGGATGGAGTATGTAAGTTGAAAAAATAGCTAAAATTTATGATAATGGAACTATTTTTGTGAATTTATACTATCTACACTCATTAAATGTTTGATAAAAAATATGAAAATAAAAAACTACTAAAAGAACCATATACTTATTGACAAATATAAATTGTCTAGATTATATAGAAAAGGAATATAATTAACTTAAAAAGTTAATTTGAATTTTTATAATTTATAAAGTTTTTTTTTTGGAATATGCTCCACAAGAATAAAATTAATCACAGAATTTTGTTATTTTTAATAAAATAAACAAGAAAAGAATTATACAAATACTTTTTTAATTATTATTATCAAAAAAGAAGCATATAAATTATACAAATAATTGAAATCCATTAACACTAGTTAAATACAAAAGAATCACTGTTCTGAATAGTAATTCCTATATTATAGATCAGCTAAAAATTGGTAAAAATCAACTGTCTATACTCTGTTTATCAACATTCTAGTTACACCTGTTAAATCTATTATTTATATGTTTTACTATTTTCTCATTATTATTTTAAACCAAACGTATACGTGTTGTCCAAATCCCAAATCATTTGGGATTTGGGACGCCAAAATCCCAAATTACTAGTATTTGGGATTTGGGATTTGGGATTTCAGCAAAAAATACTAATCATAATTTGGGATTTGGGATTTGGAATTTTGGCATTTGGGATTTTGGCATTTGGATTTTGAATTTGGGTGGCAGGTATAACCAAACGGTTTAGGACCCCTAAATTCATTACCTACTATTTCTTGCCAAGTTATTAGCCATCACCATCATGTGATATCAACTGCTTCAGAAAAAGAATTTGGTATGCATATAACTCTTTTTATATATATAATATATCTTTTCATTATTGATTATTTTCTCTATTGTAACATTATCTCCTTTTATAAACATGTTTTCACTAATGGTATCTGATAATTTAAATGTTATGTCATTTGATTTACAAACTTTAAGAATGTCATTTATTAATAATTGACCCCAGGTGTTTTGATGTGTCTTTTATATTCTGTTATCACATTACTTGACCAATAGACATATTGTAAATGTTTTAATCTAATTCTAGTAGATATCTCTAAGACTTTCTTATTATTTATTCTTTCTAGTAGATTGTTGCTATGCATTTGAAGTTATTTATCCCATAACTTACAGACATGATTTACATGACAGGGTAAAATTTTATATTAAGATATTTTTATGATAGAAAGAAGATAATATATATTTGATTTCTGTAATATCACACTGGTCAAAAATTGATAAATAATACACATATCAGATATCTGATATGTGTATTATTTATCAATTTTCGAACAGTATCAATATTTATAGAGATATTTACAAATGTCTGTAAAAAATTTCTTCAAAATTTATTATAATTCTGACCAGTGTTGTCTATGTAAACCTTCTGCAATTTACAAAGACAATGGAGTAAAATAATGCTAAACTAATAAACAAAACTAAATAAACTATAAGAACTATTAATCTCAAAATAAAATAATCATGATACAAGGATTTATGCATTGAAGGAAATATATACAATCAATTATGAAAGAGGCATATTAACTATTAACAGTGGTATGACAACTTGTTAATAGGAACAAACAGTTTATCAATTAT